TAGAGAAAACAGTGCAACAATGAATGAATGAAAACCCAAAATCTCTGTAAATGTTCACTAAAACTAATAAAATTTAATAATAATTTTAAAAAAAAGAGTTTATGTAATTCTTCCTTTGTAGTTACTGAATCCTTCCCTCCTGAGATAAGCATAAAGTAAAAAATAGAAAAGAATTTGGCCTTATTTACAAAAGACTTTCCCAGGATCCTTTGTTTTTATTTACTACTCCCTTGTGATTTTCCTTTGTTTACCTTCCTGATAATTCTCAATAAAAACACACAAAGGCATAGCATAGGAGCTGCAGTTCTCCCAGCTGTTAACCCCTGCCTTCACGCTTTCTGGCCTGACCCCTATTCCTGTGTGTCCCTTCTTCTGTCTTTTCCATTGGTTGACAACAGTTCTCTTTTTATTATCCAATTCTAGGTCCCTGTACATATGTTCTAGTAGTTTGTTTTGTCTTTGTGAGGTGCCTTTTGAAATCTTCTGTTTAGCTTTTTTATTTAAGCATCTCTTCCCTTTATTTTGGCTTCTCAATGCTCTAGTGCAATTTTCAGAGTCTCTTCTGACATCTATTTTGGTAATTTTCTTTCTCCTCCTTTTTAAGATTGCAACTGCCAGCAACATCTTATTTAGATCCACGATCAATGTATTTGGTATCAGTAGTCAGGAGATAAGGAGATGTATTGCACTCGAAAAATCTGTAGTCAAGGACTTATTCAAATTATTAGGAGTTATGATGTCAGTTTGAGAACTTAAGTGTGTCTGATATACGCCATGTCTTTTTTTAATCCCTTACTATGCATCTGAGAGCTATACAATGAATAAGGATGACAGAAGAAGAATTGATGCTTTTGAACTGTGGTGTTGGAGAAGAGTACTGACATACCATGGACTACCAAAAGAACAAACAATTATGTCTTGGAGAAAGCACAGCCAGAGTTCTACTTGGCAGCAAAGATGGTAGAGTTGCCAAGATGCTGCTAAGAAGGTTATTCCTTGGAGAAGGGCATCATGCTTGGAAAGATAGAGGGACAGCAAAGGAGAGGAAGATTCTCAACCAGATGGCCTGATACAGTTATTGCAGCAATGGGCTTGAGTGTGTCAGGACAGGGTTCATATCTGTTTTTCATAGAGTTGCTATCAAGTTGTATTTGATGCCACAAAACAATATCAACAATGGCTAATAATAAAACTTCATGTGCTTGTTAGCTGCCTAAATATCCTCTATTGCGAACACCACATTCTTTGTCAAGTTTTTTTTTAATTGGATTGCTTGTCTTTTTATTTTTGAAGTGGTGAAATTTTCCATGTATTTTAGAGATTAGAGACTTGTCAGATATGACATTGTCAAACATTTTCTCCTAGTCCAAAGGTTTTCTTTTTATTCTTTTGGTAAAGTCTTCTGATGAAGGGAGCTCTAGGGGCCAAGCAGGAAGAAAGTTTTTGTGCTGTCAACCTAGACTTAGGTGATAGGAATCCACCAGTTACTCCATGGAATAAAGGTGGGAAATCTCCTCCCTTGCCATTTATAGAGTCTGGAAACACACTGGTGGGTCAGTTATGAGATATGAGTCAGTTATGAGTTATGAGTTCCTTCTCAGAGATTTTTTAAGGTGTGTGTATACAAGTGTTTAGTTTGTAAGAGATCTCAGTTATCTAGTTTTTCTTCTGTTGCTTGTGTATTTTTAAATCAAATTTTGTAGTCTTTTTAAATCATAAATTGGGAATCTGAGGTTTGTCCTTAAATTATCTTCCAGGAATGTTATCATTTTAGCATTTTTATCTTTGCTCCATCTTGAGCTAGTTTTTGTGTTTTGTATAAGGTGTGGATCCTGCTTCCATTTTCTACAAATAAATATTCAATATTGCTACGTTATTCTTTGTAATTATAGATGGAGAGGAGATTGAGGTTGTTAACAATTACAGCTTGCTTGGCTCCACAATCAACACTCTTGGCACTAGCAGTCAGGAAATCAAAAGACAAATTGTACTGGGAAAATCTGTGGTCGGGGGACCTCTCCAGAGTACTAAAGAGCAATGATGTCAGTATAGAGACTAAGGTGCACCTGATCCAGGCCATGGTCTTTGCAATTACTTGTCTTGCATCATTGTCTTTGGACAATGACAAAGGATGACAGAAGAAGAATCAATGCCTTTGAGTTGTGGTGTTGGAGTAGAATCTTGAACATACCACAGAATGCAAAGAAAACAAATATGTCTGTCTTGGAAAGGGTGAAACCATGTTTTCCCTTGTAAGCTAGGATTTTGAAACTCTATCTCACATATCTTGGGCATGACGCCAGGAAACAGCAGTCCTTGCAGAATGACATAATGCTCAGAAGGGTGAAGGGGACAATGCAGGAGAGGAAGATCCCGGATAAGATGGATTGATACCATAAATGGGGCAGTGGGGGTTGGTGTGTCAGAGTAAGTGAGAATGATTCAGAATAGAGGAGGCTTCAGGTCCCTGTGAGTTTCAGGCAACTCAATGGCACATAACAACAACAATAACAACAATTTAAATTTCTCTCTTAAATATTTTCCAAAATCACTGGCATCACGTAGATACATCATGAATTAAGTATATCCCTATTGTTAGGTATTTAAATGGCTTCCTTTTTTTTGTTGATAAAATAACACTGTAATCAACATCTTAGCACATCAATATTCATGTTTATATCTGTTAGTGCTAACTATAGTACAGATTTATAAAAGTAAAATCACTAGGCTAACAGCTATAAATATTTTCAAGCCTGTTAATACAACACTAAATTGCCCTGTGAAAAGTTTATGTAAGGTTTTATTCCCATCATCACTGAGTGTGTTACCATTTATATTATTTTTCATGTTTTTAAATTTGATTCTCCAATTTATAATGATTATATTCAAAACAAATTCTTATCCTATTTCTCAAGTTTGTCTTCTTTTCTCTTTCCTTATGTTCAGCATATTTGAAAATATTTTCCACAGTAGATAAAAATTTAATCTCTTGATCCCGTCTTGCTGGACAATGCTAAGCAATAGAAGACTTTCATAATTAACGGCAACAACTCTGACTTTAGTTACTAGATGAGAAAAATGTGTCCAGATTTTAGTGGTGGTTTAAACACCTTGCTTCTGTTTTCACAGACTTCAGCCTATCTTTAATTTTGCGTTTGCTTTACTTTCCACAAAGATTTACCTTCTTTTCTCCCTTTTGAAATGCTGAGTCTTCCTATCCCATCCTTCATTTACGTCAGAATTCTTTGTGCCTCCTGACACAGTCAGACGGCAAAGCTTCTCGATGGGGCAGTGTTTGATTTGCCGGCCTCAGAAAAGCATAGGGGTGCTTTAACTGTACCTCTGCCATGACTGGCGCGTAAGAAGTGCCAGGAGAAAGCCCGCGAGGTGGCCGATCAAAGGAAAGATGAAACTGATGATGAAGAGAGTGACGTCTGAATTCCAAACTCCTTTCGACAGCACCACACCCGTGACTGCAGACACCACCAGGAGGGCCCCACCAACAACGGCCCCAATCTAAAGCAAAATAACAGAACAAGTTCATGTATTGTTATTTCATCTTGCCATGCAAAGAAAGACCATCACTGCATGAAATTGTTTGGAATCTATACATTTTAGGAGAGTGAAAATCAAGCGTGCAGCAGAAATCTTAGAGTCATCCAGTGTAACCCAAACATACACATAGAAGTGTCTCTGGCTCTCTGTGCTAGTGGACTGGCCTGCTTGCCTAGTGAATTGGCCTCTCTTCTCTACTTCTTACCACTTTTGTGTGAGCGGGCTGAAAGTGAGGTAGTGAGCACAAACTAAGGCTAGGGGGCCCTTCAAGGAAATAATTACTCTTAGGGAGCTAAGAGGCCTTTGTTGCTGTTGTTGTTGTTGTTATGTGCCTACGAGTCGCTTGCGACTCATAGCGACCCTATGGTCAACAGCCCTAAACTCTGCTCTATCCTGTGCCAATCGCACTGCCTCTGACACACCCATCCGGATTACCCCAGTCACTGAATCAATCCAGCTCATAGAGGGTCTTCCCTTCCTGCACTGTCCCTCCACCCTACCAAGCCTGATGACCTTTTCCAAGGACCGGTCTCTCCTTACAACATGTCCAAAGTATATCAGACGAAGCCCCAGAATCCTTGCCTCCAAGGAGAAGCCTGGTTTAACCCTCTCCGGGATGAATCTATTTGTTTTCTTGGCAGTCCATGGTACATTCAATACTCTTCTCCAGCACCACAGCTCAAAGGCGTCAACTCTCCTTCTGTCCTCCCTAATCATTGTCCAACTCTCTGATGCATAACAAGTGATTGCAAAGACCATGGCCTGTATCAGGCGCACCTTAGTCTCCAGAGAGACACCGTTGCTCTTAAGTACTTTAGAGAGGTCACTAACAGCAGACTTTAGCTGCCCCCAAAGGCAGGAAGCCCGGATTATCCTCTCTCTGGCCTTCTCTCTAGCAAACTGTTCCCTTTCGAGGAAGGATGGGGTGTTTCCCATTCTAACATCAGACTTGGAAAGCAACATCCATTCATGCAGGCAAATGGAATGGCAATGTTCAACCAGACAGCATTAAACACAAATGGAACCAAGCCATGGTTCACAAATTAAGATGAACTGAGGTGTATTTGCTGAGGCAAATTACCCTCAAACATGGAGTTTCTAATAAATCTTAAAATAGGGATGAGAAATGATAACAGAAGAATTGGTGCCTTTGTATTGTGGTGTTAGAGAAGAATACATTGACTGCCAAGAGAACAGATATGTCTTGGAGAAAGTGCGATCAAAGACAAGGATAGTGAAACTTCATTTCATACAGTTTGGGTATGTTGTGTTAGGAGAGGCTATCCTTTGGAAAAGGATATAATGCTTATAAGGGTGGAGGGTCAGTGTAACAGAGAAAGACCCTCAATGAGATGGATTAACACAGTGGCTACAGCACTGGGATCAAGTATATTAGAGATTTTATATTTTATATTAGAGATTTTATATATATATTTCTTATATATAATCTCCTGAAACTCTATGAACTTTGATAAGTGTTGATAGTTATAGAAAGGCTTTAGGTATTTTGTTCATAGGGTCACTATGAGTCATACTTGACTCGACGGCGATCAATAACATAACAACAACTATATATATATATTTTTTCACTAGTATATATATTTGGAAGCAGGACTGGCATCCACTATCAAAATAGCTTACCTCCAGCTTAACTCTATGAATTAAGAGTGATAATTACACAACAGGTATTTAGTTTACAGGGTCATTATGAGTGGTCTACAACTAATGGCGCTTAACAATAACAACTCTATATCTAACATATATATTATAATATCTCCCATATAATCTCAAAATGGATGTCAGAAGATACTCTGAAAATTGCACTGGAGCGCAGAGAAGCCAAAGCACAGGGAAGAATTGAAGATACTAAAGATTTGAATAGAAGATTTCAAAAGGCAGCACGGGATGACAAAGCAAA